TAATTTTTACATATATGTCACCCTACTTATGCAGCTATTATTGCTGTAATATGAAATGTTTGGGTGGTATAAATGTAAAAAGAAAATTTTAGGCTTTAGATTTGTAAATATGTAAGAATTGGGTGTATGTAGGCAAATGGCCATAAAATTTATGTTAAAAGTTTTGTTTTTTTGAAATGAATGTTGTAATTGTATTTTGATGGAGTTTTCATGCATGTGTATTTGAGTTGGTAGGTGACCTTATTTACTAGAGGCAAGGCACCTATTACCCAGCAGTTGCCCGGAGAATTAGATCATGAGTATGAAGAGTTCAAGTCCAAGGTAAAGCAATAATATTCAATATTTATTGATTTTACATAGTTTCGTTTGTTGTGCGTGTTAAAGCATTTGAGATTATTGAGTTTAGTCCCATATTAGATTGGTGAAAATTTTATCAATGGAAAAATGACGAAGGTTTGTTTGGCTACAACTACAAATAGGTTTTAGTAAACAATGTAAGGAAGAATTACATACCTTCCACTCGCTTTCTATGTATATATCAAAAACCTAAACTTTAATTTTTCTTACATACATACGTGGCTGCCTATGCATGAAATGTTGTATTTCATTCTTTAAAAGTTAATATAATGGTATTTTTGATTTGATGTGAAAGATTTGGGTGGTATAGATGTAAAAAAAGCAAAGTTTAGGTGTTAGATATGTCAATACATACGAAACGGGTGGTATGTATGTAAATGCCCCATAATTTAAATGATACCAGGGGGTGGTTGGAGAAGCTTCAACAGTAACAACTGATAAAGCAATTCGAGAAAGGAAAATAAATAACCAGTACGAAGATGAGATGAAATCAAATAAAAAAATACTAGATGCAAGAGTTTTATACTTTCACAACCAATCGGAATACATAAATCACTCGAAGGATTGATGAAGGAAGAAGACTCGGGATACTATCATTAACAACGAAGGGATACAATTGTCACCACCCAACGCTATGGATACAAACTCATCCCCATTCGAGAATCACAAAGGAACCATATGCCATCACAAAACTTAAATGAACAAAAGATACAATAAACAAATATATATTTATAATCAAACAAAATACCTAAACCTAATAAAAATAAGTAGAGTGGGCGACAACCCTAGCTCTAGAGAGATGGCCGACCAGCCCTCCCCCACCTGGATCGGACCATTTTGCATCCCCTCCCTGCCCTGCATCAATCTATCGAGGTTGGTGGAGCTTCAACCTCATCTGTCGAAGCTTTTAACTTCTCATAATATAATATCAAGTCGGCCAAGTTGAAGGTGGCGGAGCTGCTGTAACCTCCCGAGATTGGAGGGCCTTTTGACTGCCGACACTTGTCTCATATTGTAGATGCTTTTCTTTATGCATTCCAGTTTTGTTGTTTGTGTTATGGAAGAAAAACAATTTGCTTTTGCCCTAATTTTTATGGAGTTTCATATCAAAAGCTTCCATAATTATATTGCATGATTAAGCAATGCTAGACCATCCTTATTTGAACTTAAGCCGAAATTCCTTATTTTTGTAAATATTTTATAATAAACCAATTATATTGTATGAAATCTTGTAGATCTTGCATTTGAAAGGAGATAGGAAAGACTCTGAGTTTGTAAAGTCCAGTCTTGCAACCGAGGGATTTGAAGTTGTTTACGACATTAATGGTGACCTCCCCTCTCACTCGAAAGCCGTTTGTACTTATATTGTGAGTTCAGAGTAGGAAGCATGATTTGTAATTTTATTATGTAGAGGAATGAAAATGAATAAGCTTTCCTGAACATATTGATCTAATATTTTTTATTTTTCAAATAATTCTCATTCAGGGCGTGAAGCCATCGAGGCGGAACCTATTTTAGATGCCTTGCCAAACTTAGAACAGTAAGTTCCCTTTTTAATAGATTAATTAAAAAAATGGATAATTACATACATAGCACTGAAAACATGGCTATTTACAAAATCTAGCGCCGAGGTGATATTTTGAACTACCGAATCAATGTATTTACACATGCCGGTCACATTCCTATTATTGAGAATTTGATAAAATTGAAAACATGAGTTGGGTTTTAAAAAATGGATGAAAGATGGTGCCACATTTGCAAATAACAATGTTTCGGGTGTTGTATGTAATTGCCCCAAACCCTAAACCCTAAAAAAAAGCTGCAAAGATTTGTAATGATTGCAAATAAATTTAAAGAGAATATTGTTGTAGATATTCTCATTTGATTTGCAATCACAATGCTGTTTCTTCATTATTTTACTTGCGATTCTTTTCCATCATTTATAATGTCCAATAATTTTGTTGATTATGTTGGATTTGATGAATCTGTTTGCCAAATTGCCTTTTTGAAGTTATGATGTCTTTTTAACTATAGGTGCTCTGAATTTTATAAAATTGCTTTTTTATTCTTTCCCAAAACTTCTAGCTTTTGAGCTGACGTTGAAATTTTATTTTGCATGAGCTGATTTTCTTACATGTAATTTTCTTACTCCATCTTCGAGAACAATGTTTAATTGGTTCTATAATTAATGTGCTTGTTGTTATGGCCATGCATTATTTATAGGAAGATTTACATACATACCGCTCAATTCCTATGTATTTACATATTTAACACATAAACTTCAATTTCTACATGCGTGCCATCTTAACTATGCATGGAAAGGTGTATTTCACTTCTTAAAAATTAAAATGGTGGTATTTCTGATGTGATATGAAAGATTTGGGCAACACAAATGACGTAAGCTTTAGGTGTTAGATATGTAAATACATAGGAATTGGTTGGTATGTATGTCAATTCCCTCCCCTTATATATGAGTACATTTTCTAATGTAAATGCCTCTTGTTATGTTTAGTACTTTTCAGATTTTCCTTGACTATTTAGTTTTTGCATCTTTCTAAATAGTGAAATATGAGATCTTAATTTCTGTAATTTTAAATCTGACAATATTGGTCTCAGCACTCTTTTTTATTTAGAAAACCATTCATCTATGGACTCATTTGGATCTTGGCAGATGAAAAATATGTTCTTAAAAGTGTTGATTTTCTTTTCAGTAATTTTATTTCAAACTAAATTATACTTTATAACATTTATATTAATTTATATGGGCATTTACACAGCACCAAATTCCTATTTATTTACATATCTAACACCTAAACTTTACTTTTTACATTTACACTGCCCAAATATCTCGTTTCATATAAAAAATACCACTATTTTAACTTACAAAAATTGTAAAATACACCTTTTTATGCGTAGGTAAAGTGGCATGTGTGTAAAAACTAGTTTTTTTGTTTGATATGTAAATACATAGAACTTTAGGGGTATGTATGTAAATCTTCCTAATTTGTCATTACAGGCAACGTAATGATGGAATCTAATACCCTACTCATCTTTTTCAAAACATGAATTCTAACATTACCCATCCAAATGAGCCCCATATAACTAACAAAAGTGACCTGTCTAGTCTGCCATATAATTAGAAGATGAATTTGCAGGTACATATACTGCTCATCAGCTGGAGTATATCTCAAATCAGATCTGTTGCCTCACTTTGAGGTATTAATTTCTTCACTTTGAAATTCAAAATTCATTAAACTTTTTTTTTTTTTGAGGGAAATTTACATACCAGTCAATTACTTTGTATTTACATATCTAACACCCAAAGTTTGATATTTACATTTATAACATGTTGTTCCATGAACCGATGCATGAGAAGTGTACTTCACTTTTAAAAAGCATTAAAAACTAGAGCGTTATGCATGTAAATATGAAAGTTTAGATTTTAGATATGTGAAGGAATAAGAATTGTGTGTATGTAAATGCCCCTTCTTTTTGGGAAATTTGCATACATACCACACAATTCCTTTGTATTTACATATCTAACACCTAAAGTTTGATATTTACATTATAACATTTGGTGTCATGAACCTATGCATGAAAAGTGCACTTCACTTTTAAAAACGCATTAAAGACTAGAACGTTAGGTATGTAAATGTGAAAGTTTAGATTTTAGACAAGTAAATACATAAGAATTGTGTGGTATGTATGTAAATGCCCCTTCTTTTAAGAAAAATTGCATAAATACCACACAATTTGTTTTTATTTACACGAAAACTTTTGTTATTTACATTTATAACACTTTGGTGTCCTGAACCTATGCATGAAAGGTGTACTTCACTTTTAAAAGGTTATTAGTTGTGATTATTTTTATGTGATATTAAAGATTAGAGTGCTATGTATGTAAATACGAAAGTTTGTGTGTTAGATATGTAATTACATAAGAATAGTGTTGTGCATATATGTAAATGTCCCCTTCTTTAGGTACTAAACATGCTTGGCATTTTTGGGTTATAATTAGTTTGATGCAGTTGATCCAAAGAGCAGGCACAAGGGGAAGCTTGAGACAGAGAATCTATTGGATTCAAAGGGAGTGAATTGGACTTCTCTGAGGCCTGTCTACATATATGGGCCATTGAACTACAATCCAGTAGAAGAGTGGTTCTTTCACCGTCTGAAAGCCGGTCGGCCCATTCCGATTCCCAACTCTGGCGTTCAAGTCACCCAACTTGGTCATGTTAAGGTTAGTCACAGATTGAATGTTTTGAGATTTGGGAAGTTTACATAGGTACTGCACACTTATGAATTTACATATCTTACACCTAAACTTTTATATTGACATTCACAACACTTTGGTATCATAAACCTCTTCGTCAGAATTCATACTCCAATATTTTACTAAAGAAAGCTTATCTTTGGTACATAAGTCCTTATATGTGCTTTCATATGAAAAAAATATGGTAAAATTATACAACAACAACAACAACAACAACAATACCTTTATCCTACTAAGTGGGGTCGTCTGCATAAATCCTTTTTCTTCATTGTGTCCTATTTAGTGTCATATTTTCTTTTAATTCTTCATTTGTTATACAATATGCCCAAGTCTTCCTAGGTCCACCTCTGTCTTTCTTAACATAAGTCGAATCTAAAACTTCTAATCTCCTAATCGAATCATCAGATGGTCGACATTTAATGTGACCAAACCACTAAGACGGCTCTATCTAATTTCGTCCATCACTGGAGCTAAACCAACCCTATCACGGATATATTCATTTTACATTTTGTTTCTATGTGTAAAGCCACTCATCCGCCTAATCATTCTCATCTCGACAACACTTAACTTAGTTTTATGCTTCTCTTTTAAAAGCCAACATTCTGTGCCATAGAGCATTGCAGGTCTCACCACCATCTCATAAAATTTTCCTTTCAGTCTAAGCGGTACTTTTCTACACACTTCACAAACATATGTATTTGTTTATGGGCATTTTTGCTTAGTCTACCCAAGGACGCGAACACCCATATCACTCTCCCCAGATAGGATGTAATTTCATCCTCATCACCAGAAGTCTCTAGATCCCCGTAATATAGGAATAAATCTACGACATTGAAGGTAGCTAAAGTGTTACAGTCACCCGAAAGATCAATCTTAGAAACACTATTATTGATCTTGTGGACAATTCTGGACAAATCGTCAGCTCGAGTCTCGAGCTTCCCAAAAAAATATGTAGGAAATTTTTTATCTCAATCTGATTCATTCCAGGTCACCTTCCTTGAATATCATAATCTTTTGTTTTTTTTTTCTTATTAGCTTGATATTTTGCATTCTACTTATCAATATTCTCCCAAACTAGCCTTTGCATCAATACTAAGCTTGGTAGCTTGATGTTTATGCATTAGCTCTAGAGCCATGAAAGCATTCTATTCCCAACATAGATTAGTGTAAAGTCAATATCATAGGAACTTAATAAACTCTAGGACAGCACCCAATACAATCCTTCTGGTCTAAAGTCATATCCATATGCTTTCTAACTTTATTTATATGCATATTATTTTAATTTTGGGCCATTTACGCACACAGCAAACAATTATTATGTATTTACATATCTCACATCTAAATTTTAATATTTACACACGCAACGCTCAAATCTTCAATATCACATCAAAAATAATACAATTATCACTTTTTGAAAGTGAAATACACATTTTCATGCATAGGTTTGAACCATGGAAGTGCTGTGTATGTAAATGTAAATATGAAATTTTAGGTGTGAAATACGTAAATTAATAAGAATTGTGTGAGCTTGCTACACATGTAAATTTCCATTTAATTTTTTTGTATAAATTGATTAATATTTATATGCCGTAAATGCTTAATCTATTTATGTAGTCAGTGTGTGCAACTTTCCATTATAACACATTTACGAAGAATTTTGCTTAATTTCCATGTGTTAAATCTGCAAAAAAATCATTTTTAATCCAACTTAATCTATTTTACAGGATTTGGCTGATGCTTTTGTTAAGGTGTTGGGAAATCCTAAAGCAAGCAAGCAAGTCTACAACATATCCGGATCTAAATATGTCACCTTTGATGGTTTGGCTAAGGCATGTGCCAAGGTAATTAATTTAGGAAGATTTGCATACATACCACACATTTCCTATCTATTTACATATCTAACACTTGAACTTCAATTTTTACATATACGCCGCCTTGCCGGTTCATTAAAGAGATGTATTTCACAGTTTAAAAGTCAAAATAGTGGTATTTTGATGTAAATATTTATGGTATAAATGTAAAAAAGTGAAGTTTAGATGTTTTACATGTGTAAATACATAGGAATTGGGTGGTATGCATGTAAATGCCCCAATTAATTTTAGTAAAAATAATAATCTTATTAATATTCCTCATTTTTGCAGGCTGCAGGGTATCCTGAACCAGAAATTGTTCACTACAACCCCAAAGAACATGATTTTGGGAAAAAGAAAGCCTTTCCATTCAGAGATCAGGTATTCTTATCCTTAAATTTTCCATAGTTTAGAGTTTATGATTTTTTTCTTTTTTTGAAAATTACCATATAATAATAAATTTGCAAATATAAGTAAAAAATCATCAAATATTTGATGCTTTAAAGAGCAATTTATTTTTAAACTTTTTTTATCTTTTGTTTTAAATTATTTTTATTGTTATGAAAGGGTGTGATTATTAAGATGTATGTAGGAAGATTTACATACATACCACTGAATTACTATCTATTTACAATTCTCGAACCAAAATTTCAATTTTTACATATATGTCACCTTATCTATGCATGAAAAGGTGTGTTCCGCTCTTTAGAAGTTAAAAGAGGGGTATTTTTTTTTGTGAACTGAAAGATATGGATGGTGTAAATGTAAAAAGTAAAGTTTAAGTGGCGGATATATAAATACATAGGAATTGGGTGGTGTTTATGTAAATGCCCCTTTTTGGAGGGATTTACATTCATACCACACAATTTTTATCTATTTACATATCTAACACCTAAACTTTATGTAAGTAACACTCAATTCTTTAACATCACATCAAAAATAGTGCTGATACTAATTTCATAAAGGAAGATTTACATGCATGCACTCAATTCTATGTATTTGCATATCTAGCAATTAAGCTTTAATTTTTACATATATATTCCACCTTACATTATTTCACCTTTTAAAAGTCAAAATAGTTATATGTTCAATGTGAGACGAAAGATTTGAGTGGTATAAATATAAAAAAATAAAGTTTGGGGGTTAGATATGTAAATACATAAGAATTTGGTGTATGAATGTAAATGCCCCTTTCTTAAAAGTGAAATGCGTCTGTTCATGTATATATGTTACATATATGCAAATATGGAACTTGAAGTGTTAAATATGCAAATAAATAAGAAATGAGGGGTATCTATGCAAATTTTAATGATTTTTATATGAACTGCAGCATTTCTTTGCTTCAATTGAGAAAGCACAAACTGAGCTGAATTGGAAGCCAGAATTTGGGTTAGTTGAGGGCCTTGCAGACTCATTCAACTCAGATTTTGGCCTTGGAAAGTACCGCAAAGAAGCTGATTTCTCCACAGATGATATAATTCTAGGCAAGTCTCTGGTACTTCAGCCCTAAATTATTTTTATAAAATATGAGTTTTAATTATTTCTGAAACCAAAATTTATAGAAAATTTGGTAAGTTTGTGAGGTAAATTATTGATTTTTCTGATTATTAATGGTTCATGATTTATGTTCATTATGTATTGTCTGTATTTTATGTAGATGTCAAGAGCTTATGTAATATTTATAAGAAACGTGATGTAGATTGGTGTTATTTAATGAAAGCAAAAGTTGTGTGTGTGTGTGTGTGTGTGCGCGCGCGCCCGTTTACAAATAAAATAAAAATCCTAGGGGTTCCTTTATCCACGTTACAACTCCACACCAAAAGGTGTGTGTGTTGTGGTGGTGGTGTGCTGGTGTGCTGGTGTGTTGTGTTGTGATTCGGCTGCTAATGTGTGGTGTGGTGGTGTGGTGTGGTGGTGTGGTGTGTAAATGTGTTATTGTGGTTGGGTGTGTGGTGGTGTGTGTGGTGGTGGTGTATGTGGATGTGTTGTTGTGGTGTGTGTGATACTGTGTGATGTAGTCGTGTGTGAAAAAATTAAGAAAGAAACAAAGACCGAGTGAAGAGCTCTAGGCGGCAACAACATCACAAGCGTCTGAGTTCCACGAAAGAAAACCTGCAGTAATAATGACAAAGGAAAGAAAGAAGGCATGTGAAAGTAGAGATTGAGTTAATGAAGCCAATAAAATCGGTAAACTCTGGTGCAAAAGCTGGCACCCAATGAAAGTACCACAAAACCAAAAGTAGGCACTGCCATAAATATAAGGTGAGCGGCAACCACCGCCCCAACCGAGAGCCAATCGAGCCTGAAGTAGGAAAGGAAATATAAGGACGACCCCAATGAAATCTAGGGCCAAACCATACCACAAAACATATAATAACAAGCTAAGATGAGACATCTCGACGAATATATGGGGCATCAATCTTGTCACCACTAGCATAGTGTTTAACAGAGGGGGGATCAGATCCCACCCAACAGTTACTAGTGGCACTACCTAAAATAGCAAGCCAATTTGCGGGTTGATTTCCCTCCCGATAATTGAAACTCCATATCACATTCATATTAGAGATTAAGCCTTTAATCCTCTTAATATAATAGAGGATATCCCACGGGGCCTCGACACCATTGGCAAAAATGTCAACCAAGATGTGATTATCACATTCAAAGATAATAAAATGACAGTTAAGAGAGTGAGCTATCATGATAGCCATCAAGATGGCACGAGCCTCCTCCTCCATAGGAGTGTCAGCGTAAGAGGGGGAGGAAAAGAAAAGAATATAGTTCCCAACAAAATTCATAGCAATGCCTCCACAGCCCGCACTTTTAAATTTCCAACTCCTATCGGTGTTAAACTTTACCCAACCCCTGGGAGGAGGCCTCCATCTCACCAAAACCGGAGAAGAGGAGATCTCCTCTCAGCCATGACCGCAAGCCCCATAGAAAGAAAATAGTTAACGCCCGAAAAGAAGCTTTGTTTAGCATTACCCGTCCACTAAAACTTATTAATATAGGCAATAATGTTAGTAAAGATCATCCTATTCACAATAGTGCCAAACTACATGCCATAATTATCATTAATATATGCCAAACTAGATGTCATAGTAAAGAAATCCTGCTTTGTTTAGCGTTACTCTCATGTATAATATCATTACGAGCCATCCAAATAAACCAACGTATAATGTAAGGGCAGACTTGCAAAAAATGTTTTTGTTTTTGATCTGGATTGCAAATTATAGTGGTAAGCAAAAGATTTCGCTCCGAATTCACAATTGTGCCAAACTACATGCCAACCTTCCTCCATATGAAAAGCGAAAAGGAGCAAGAAAAGAAAATATGCTCAATAGTTTCCTCCCCCGAGTTACACAAACAACAACGTGAAACAAGTCTCAAACCCTTCATTTTTATGATATCATCACATGGAATAACAGAGTGGAAAACCCACCAAGTCAGAAAAGACATAGAAGAAGTTAATGCCAATGCCCAACTCCATACACCCTCTCCCCAAGGGAGCTTTTGAAAATTATGTAAGGCGGAATATAAAGATTTGGTAGTGGAGCAAGACAGGAAATTTCAACGTAGGAGTATCTTGCGAATGAGGCTCAATAGGAATGGTGGAAATGAAAGTAGCTCCCTCGAAACCCAGAAGATTAAGGAGGAGGAAAATCCCAATGACCATCCATCCAAGTATCAGAAACCATACGACTTGAAAACCTTGCATCCCTCATATCAAGCATTACATGGGACCAACAGTCATGCCAAAAGGAAATGTCTCCACTCGCCACCTCCCCGTATATGAAATCCTTAGCCCAATCTCTAATATGAAGCGTTCTCTTCCACATAGTGGAATCCCCCAACCGCCAATTGATCAATGTCGGATGAGAGGAGTGGAAATATTTCCCATGCATGAAAATGACCACAAGGAATCACCTTTCTGAAAATTAAACTATTGTTTAAAAACATTAATATCAGTAATATGTTCCAGAGATTTGAAACCCAAACCACCAGCATAGAGGGGTTTGCAAATATTCTCCAAGACATCCATCTTCTACCTGAATGATTCCCCACCCATAAAAAACTTATTAAAACATCTTTCGAGGCTCAAAAGAGTGTTTTTCTTGAGTTGGAAAACTTTAAGAGTATATATAGGAAGAGAATGTAAGATACTCCTGAGTAACGTAATTCTACCCCCAAAAGAAAGGAAATTATTTTTCTAATCCAAGATTTTCTTTCGCACCTTTTCCACCACATCATCAAACTGAATTCGCCTCTTCCTTTCTTTAAGTAAAAAGACTCCCAGATATTTAAGTGGAAGGGTAGAAATAGAGAATTCAGTAAAATTAGCAATCTAACACCATTAGAACGACTGATCGTATTTCCCATGTATAAGTTGCATTTATTGGCATTAAAAAGGAGACCGGAGACAGATTGGAAGTTCCCTATTAAACTGTGAATATCCCTCACCGCTTTTTTGCTAACATTAGAGAACAATATCATATCATCGGCACACGCTAAATGTGTTACCAACGTATTGGATTTATGAGTGTATTGCAAAGTGAGGTTTCTCCTGAAAAGGTTATTTAAAAGGCGAGAAATATAATCAAATATTAAAATGAAAATAGTAGGGGATAAGGGGTCACCCTGCTTTATCCCACGCCCCGTACTAAAGAAGACCCAAGATTGACCATCGATGTTTATTGCAATGGAGCCATGAGAGAATAATTTTGTAAAAATCTTGGGAAAAGCCCCTAGCTTTAAACACCTTCAAGTTAAACTCCCAACTAAAAAAATCATAAGCCTTGCGAATATCCAATTTAGTGACCATATTTCCCCCTCTACTTTTTTTATCAATATCCAAGATGAGTTCCTGCGCAAGCATAATATTATTTGCGATCCCTCGCCCTTGAATAAAGACAGATTGATTCAAAGAAATTAATTTGTGGAAATGAGGTTGAATACGTCTGACCAAAATTTTACTAATCATCTTAGATATGACAGAAGTAAGAGAAATATGTCTAAAATGGTCCCAAGAGCTTTTTTGAGTGTTTTTGGGAATAATAACGATAGTAGCGACAGAGAAATAATTTCCAGGGGTCTCCTCCTTAAAGAAACTTTGTATAGCTTCCACCACCTTATCCTTAACAATACTCCAACATTTAATATAGAAAGCAGAGGTGAAACCATCAGACCCCGGGCCTTGTTGCAATTAATGTCCAGAATGGTAGAATAAATTTCCTCATCCTAAGGAATACCACAGAGATCGAGATCCACCCTGTGATGACGTACATAATCAAATAAGAAAGCATCAATATAGCCCGAAGTCTCATGAAACTCAAAAAGTTTAAAGAAATAAGAAACATCGCTTTCCCCAATCTCCTCATCCCCAATAATCCAGCTCCCCTCATCATTTTTAATCCTCACAATAGTGTTATTGACTCGTCTTTGTTTAATGCAAGCATGAAAGTATTTAGTGTTTCTATCACCTTGAGAGAAGTGGGTTTCCCCAATTTTTTGTTGCAACAATTCCTCCTCCCAAAGGGAGGCCTCTAGTAATTCCTTATTAGCCTCCTGTAAGTCATGGATAATATCATCAGAAGATTCATCAAGAGCATGTAGGAGACTGACCCTCTGCTCAACGCTCTTAAATCTAGCATGAACATCACCAAAGACATCCCAGTTCCAAGATCTTAGAGCAGAAGCCACCTTTTTATGCAGTTTCCAAAGAGTGAACTATGCATTGCCCACCTCCTCACATCTCCAATTAGTAGCAAAGACTCGCAAAAAGTCATCATGTCTAGCCCAGATGTTTAGATAAACCTTTTTGAAACAATCAAAGGACAAAAGAAGGGGGTTGTGATCAGACCCAAATTTGCAAAGATGTTGAACTTACGAAAAACCATAAGAGGAAATTCACAACTGATTAGCAAAACACCTATCTAGGTGTTCAAAAAGCTTTCCCCTTTTCTAAGTGAACTTAGAACCAACAAAACCCAGATCATAAATGCCAGCTAGATCCAAAGCTTCATTGAATTTATCAGTTAAAGTGATGTCAATTCTCCGACCACCCAATTTTTCAGAATCACGCATCACCATATTGAAATCCCCTCCAACCATCCAATTATGGTGGACTAAGGCAATATCAAATAGTTTGTATCAAAGATCATATTTAGCAGCATTAGTAGTCCCAGCGTAAACAAAACTTAGACATCCAGAGAAAACATCCATAGAAAAGAAAGT